ATTCTCTCTAACCCAACCTTGTGACACCTTCGTCACAAAGGTTGGTTACCTTGCCTACCTCTCTTAAGATACTTGGCATGGATCGAATTATTTAAGACTAGCTCTAATGCCACTTGTCAAGAGTTGAGACTTAAGCTCTGACCCGTACAGTTTCAAGACCCGGGCATGTACTCATCTGACATTTTAAATCAATCTACTTATCACAATTCATACCCTTATGAGGTATTATCTGTTTTAGCCTCCTTGACCTTTCAGTTTTATCCTACAAAAGGTGCCTTACAAGGAAGAGATGGTGTGAACCTTTATATATCAACCTAAGCTTCGATCCGTGTGACTCCAAAACCTGAGCATCCATTCATTCGATGTCTCAAATTAGCCTATCTATAACGATTTATATCATTGTGAGGTATTATCTATTCTGGCCCCTTTTGACCTTACGATTTTATTCTACAAAAGGTGCCTCACAAAATAGAGTAGTGTGAATCCTTATATACCCCAATGACCTTTTTTATATCTGATGTGGGATTTATAACTCTTTTTTAGATTCATAATATTCTTCTCCACCCAATCTCGTGACGCCCTCATCACGGAGGTTGGTCACCCTGCCTACCTCCCTTAAGGCACTTGACATGGATCGAATGATTTAAGATTGGTTTAATAACACTTATCACGAGTTAAAATTTAAGCTCTAACCCGTGTAACTCTAGAACCCGAGCATGCACTCATATAGAGTCTCGGATCAACCTATCTACCATAGTTCACACCCTTGTGAGGTATTGTCCGCTCTGGCTATTTTAGCTTCATGATTTTATCCTACAAAAGGTACTTCACAAGAAAGAGGTGGTGTGAACCCTTTTATACCCCATAACCCTCCTATTATGTTCGATGTGAGATTCAAGACTCCTTCTAAGGTCCGTGACATTCTCTTCTACCCAACCTCATGATGTCCTTATCACAGAGGCTAACCACTCTGCCTACCTCCCTTAAGGCACTTGGCATGGATCGAATGGTTTAGGGCTAGCTTTGATACCATTTGTCACGGGTCGAGGCTTAAGCTCCGACCCGCTTAGCTCCATCACTAGTAACATTTTTTATTATTTTTCATAATATGTTCTTCAATATTTTAATATATAACAAAGACAAATGCAATTACATACCTATTTTATATGGATTACACTTTTATACATGCAAAGACAACACATCCACATGTAATTTACACACATGGATTGATGGATATAAGTTTTTAAATGTGCATGTGTAGGCATGTGATGGTAGTGTAGCTATCATTAAAGATACTGTACATACCACTAAAGGTTTTAGTTATTGTTTATATGTGAAATTTTCATGTTCTATCTTACTTTCCGTTGAGCATTGAATTTTTGTATGCATTTTACATTCTTTTCTGATCTTTTTTGTTTAGGTGTTTGTATGTCATCATTTATTATGGGTAGAGGTGATAAAGATGAAATCCATGTTTTTCATAAAATGAAAGAGGTATGTTAGTTTGTGTCCCGTTTGTATTTTATTTTTATTTTTTTTCATTATTTTGAACATTCAAGACAAAAATTCTTTATGACATGTACATAATAATGCTTGACAAATTGTGCTCTATTGTAGTCTTGTGAAAATTTCATTCCACTTTCAACATTATGGTGTAAATTGTAAATAGAATAGAGCTTTTGTTTTTTTATATTTTTATAATTAGAATTTATAAATGATTTTGTAAAATATTATTATATTTTTATATGAAATGGAATGTTTGATTTATTCATTTTTTATTTATGTATATTTTAGTATTCATATAATTACTTTAAAAATAAATTTAAAAATATAATAAAATGATAAAAAATTATAAAATAATAGTTAAATATGATTTAAAAATATTATTACCAACAGATTTGCTGATGGATTGTTATTATTACTAACAAATTTTTATTATTAACAATGAATTTACTGATGAAAAAAACCTATTACCGATGGATTTACCGATGAAAAATTTTGTAACTAATTACCGACGAAAAATTCTATAGGAAGATCCGTCGCTAATGAAATCCATCAGTAATTACAAAAGGATATGAAGTATTACCAATGGAATAGCATTATCGATATAGTTAGCATCGATGAAATTTTTTTGTTGATAAAATCGTTGCTAAAAGTATTATCGACATATTGTAAGCTTTTTACTAATAGAAAATTCCATCGATAAAGCTTAATTTTTCTGGTAGTGATATCAATTCATAAATCATTTCAAAATATGATGTTATTCACATATCATAATCAAATCAAATCAATGATTAATCTTTAAAATCATTTTAAGTCATCATAAACCATTAATTCATCATTAGCTATGGTCACTGCTATAACCCGTGACATTGGTCATATCAACAATTTTATCTTCATGATCATTGCTAATTATTATAACCCACTAGTTAGGGTTTAATGCTAACTACTATAACTCGTTAGTCAGGGCTATATAATTATATTTATGCTAACTACAATAACCCTTTAGCTAGGATTGTAGAACTAGTTCTGGTGTTAATGATCCTATTTCCCAAGGATATAATTTCATAACTATCATAAAATTGTTATTTAAACATAAATCCTTTTTTTATTTCATTCATAAGCATGATCTATCATTTACATAGCGAAACATAAAATAATCATATACTTGATGATATTTTCATATATCGAAAATAAAGAAATAAAACATTTACTCACTTAGAAATATACATATATTTAGGTTCAAAAACAAGCCAAGTGTGTGAGATTCTACTTATTTCCTTTCGATTCCACCATTTAGTTTTTTTTCTAAAATAATTAATGGCCTATTCAAGAACATTTCAATGTATCATAAATTAATCAACTCATTTTGGGACCATTTATACTAAAAACAACTAAGTTATATAAGAGTTAACTTAACTAACTATCACTAAAATAGCTATATCTCAAGATATCCAACTCAGAATTAAGATCTTTTTAGTATGTTAGAAACTAGACTCAATAAGCTTACTAACTGTATATGACCCACCTCTTAATTCCTTGCAGATTAATTGCAATAATTTTTTAAATCCATATAGTATGCTATTGCCAGACAACATATATACCTTCTAATAAAAATTACATATTTATTCATAAGAAATTCGAAATTTAGTTCCACTTGTTTGATTAGAAAAGTAAACTCAATAAGCTTTTCAAATATGTATGGCTCAATTTGGAATTCATAAAATTAATAAAAATTTTGTAATTTCTCCATCATGTTGCTGTTAAGCAACCTATACATCTTTAACTAAAAATTAGACAACATTTCATAGAAATTTGGAATCAACTTTCATTTATTTCTTTGGAAAGTAGATTCAACAAGCTTTTCAACAATATATAGTATTTATGTTAATAAGTTATCCATTAATACATAATTTCATTTTAATTCACTGTTGTAGATAATAGCATTTCATCCAAAAATATAATTTCTTCTTCAATCTTTAAAAAAACTCAAATCCCCATTTTCAGCTTTTAAAATCCATTCAATCATCATCGTTAAATATTAACAACATAAAGTAATTAAAGCTTAATAATTTACCCAAATAGATCATGAGATTTTATAATTTTTCTTGATGTTTCTTTTATAAACTTCAATTACAAATAGTAGTAATCAATATAGTATTTTTTTTAAATAAAAAGAAGATATATACTCACATTTAGGAGGTTAACTCGATTCTAGTCTCTGAATTTGGATCTCCAACTTAATTTTTCAAGCTCCCTAACCCTAACGAAGATAAAGAAGAAAAGCTCTCATTTTCTTCTCTTTATTGCAATAAACAAAGATGGCTAGTTTTCTCTAATATAATACCTCAGCTATTTTTCTTTTACTATTTAATTTCTTAATAAACTAATGGATTTTGATAAATAATCTAGCCCAATTATCATTTGAGTTGGGATATTACAATTTTGTCATCCGTACCTTCATTAATATTTTTTTTTCAAAAATTCATTTATTAAATTTTTTGGTGCAAAAATTATCTCACTAAAAAATTATAAAAGGTGAAAGGCTAAATAATGGAATAGGTGTCATTTTTATACATTCTTTGGTTTTTTAAAAAATGTTCTAATTAAAAAAACAAAAATTTTAAAAAAAGTTGAGTTGTCATAAAGTATTAGCAATGATAAACTTTTTTAAAAAAATTATATTATGAATTTTTAAAAAAATAAAAAAGATAAAAAAAGGTAAAAATAAGAAAAAAGTATAAACGTGATATCAATATCTCAATTAATATTCATTTTTTTAAAAATGATCAAAGAAAAAAATAACAAAAAAGATGGCTTTTAATAATAATAATATCAAATAAGCCTCAGAGTAAAAAATATTTATTAAATAAAAAATAAAAAAAGAAAAGGAATAATATGTTTTGATATGTGACATATTTTTAACCTTAGGTGACTGGTATAAAAAACCTAAAAAAATTATTTATTAAATATATAAAAAAATTTTAAAAAAAAACCATGTAACATGATATGATAAGTCCAATAAAAAAATTTAAAATCTAAAAAAATATTTAGTAAGTAATTAAAAAAATTTGATATTAAGTGAGTCTAAAAAATTTATTAAATATTAAAAAATTAAAAAAAAAAAACATGCGACACCCTTTTTAAATATTAAAAAATTAAAATGCAAAATAATACAACACGCAGCAGCATTATAAAAAAGAAAAGTTGAAAAACTAAAAGAATGAAAAAATAAGTAATGACATATGAATCTATACATATGTAAAATTTATCTATTAAATATATAATTAAAAAATAAAATAGCATAAATGATTATAATTTAGATTATGATTACTATTTTTTAAAATTTTTGAATAAATTTATAAATAAATATCATTAATATTCTTAAATTTCTAAAAGTTTTTTTTGGATTTTATATTAAAAACAGTCACTCGTACAATCCCCGAACTCGCTTCTTTCTTCTTCGTCTATTTTCTTTTTCTCTCTCGTTTATACTTTTTTCCTTTCTTCCTCTCATCCTATTTGAAGCCCATACGTTGCTTTCACAGCCCCTCGATCTCCTTCTATTTTTCAATCACTTCTTTTCTTCCCTTCCCGCGATCTCACGAAACCCGTGAGGTTTCGATCTCTTTCTCTCTCTCTCTCTATCCTTTTTTTTTCTTAATTTAACGAATCGGCTGTTTTTTTTTCTCTCTCTAGGGTTTTCTTTGGGGGACGACTGCTTCAGTATTGCATCTTATCTCAGGCAAGTCATTCCCTTGTATTTTCTCTCCTTTTAGATTCTATATACTGTTTATAATCTTTGGAGTTTGTTTGTTTCCCGAGAAACAATCATGGGATAAGAAAGGAAATAGTTCCAATAATAATTAGAGAAAACTATGGTTTACATATTTGTGTGCTATCTGATTGGGAGCGTGATTTGATCTTCTGGTGAACTCAAATAACTGGAAGGCATTTTTTTTTTTTTTTTTCAGTTTAAGCTTTATTTGATGTAGTTTTTTTTTTTTCTTTTCTTATGACATATGTTTTTAATTTTTGGGGTATAATAAACGAAGTAAAGAAGTTTTCTGATAAAAAGGGAGAGTAAAAGGAAATTAAGGTGTCGCTGCTCAAGATATAGCTACAGCTGATGTTAGCCAAGAAGCAGTTTATGAGACAGGTAGAGTGTTCAGAAATCATGGTTTTTCATGTTTACAAAATGCTGAGGACAATGTTCAATTACAATGTTGAGAAGGGTGAGACATAATACAACACGTTTATTGTGTAGAAGTGAAGAGAATGGGAATCTACTGGAATGGGTTCAGCGTAAGTCTCTTTTGGTAGTGTAGGTTTGCTGGCCTTGCCTATAAAATGCAATATTGCAAGGAAACAGAAAAAGGAAGTAAACCATTATTAGTGGAAGAGCAATTTCCCTGCTCAATTGAAACTTGAAATTTGTTGGATATTTGGGTTCTTTTGGGTGCTATTAATGAAGAAGAGAGTTTAGGATTAAGATAGAAGCAAAACTGATAGTATATTCTTCAATTTGAATGGGTGAAAGGTAATTTGCTTGGGTGGTTTTACTTGAGAATATTTTAGTTCACATGCTAAGTTAAAATGTTGGAAATGCCCATTGAAGATAATTTGGATGTACTTGAGATGCATAACATATTTGCTGGTGGTTCTAAGAGTCTAAGATTAAGGTTTAATGTCATGACCATCAATCTTAAGGTTTGAGGTGTTTGCTTGGCCATAAACCTTTACATTTTTGAGAAATGAGAAGGTGTTCGCTAAGCTTGTTAATTTGGCTTCCTGTGAATAGTACTAGTGCTAAAAGTGGAGCTTGTAGCTTAATTGGTAATTTGCTTTCATTCCTACATATAGGATTTAGAAAGTTGGCAAGTAGGTTATAGAAGTTACCGTATGAGAAGTCTGTAGTACATGATTATGTCCCACTTATGTTACTTTTATGGTAATTTTAGAGAAGAATGGAGATAAATGATTAAATTAACTTTACTATGATTTGGTGGTGCACAAGTAGAAAAAAGAGAACAAGCTTGGATACTAGTATTCCTGTTGTTGTTGGTATGGATAATTGTGAAGACCAGAAAGATAATGAAGTTGGAGTTTTATGCTAATCTATCTGCTTAATTCGTTTTATTGCTTCCTCCATGTTTATGATTTTTGAAAACTATGTCCTTTTTCTTTTTTCATTTTCTTATAAATGTCATGATAAATTAAATGTTTTACATTAAATCCTTTGAGAGTCAATTTTATATAATAATTCAAATTTTAATTATAATAACTAAAGTCAAAACTTTTTCTTAATCTTTGTGTCCAGTTAAATTTGAGCTTTCAATTCAAGGAGGTAGTTTTCTATCTTCGAAAGGATTACAAAGCCAAAATTTCATGAGATAAAACAGAGTGTTTATTTTTCTAATTGATTCAAAAGAATTGCAAATAATTTATTTGCTCGTTGATTTATTTTGTTATCATTACTGTTAAGTAGCTAGTGTGAAAAACTTTTACATGATATTACTAGCATACTCCAATATGACATAACTTTAGGTTACTGCTGCTTTTTTTTTTGGTTGGTCGAACAAAATGTTATATATCTTTACCTACCTACAGTTCATTGTCATATATCTTTTCCAACCATCCATGCTTCAAATATCTCATTAAGCATTGATTAATGTGTTTTCTTTGTGCCATCATTTCATGTATAAGTGCTCTATGGGATCTTGACCTATAAAGAACTGGATTTCAGGGGATTAGTGCTGACTATCTTCTTGGTGCAAATGATTTACACACATAGACAAGCGTGTAATAAACAATGTAATGCATATGTATGTTGGACTATGGACATGTGCATAAAAGTATTATCTAATTGTTGCATATTCCATGTAGCATATTATGCTTGTTTACAACATTATATTGTTTTCTTTAGAAATTTGTGTAACTGATTGCAAAGTGTCCAACTGATGGAATTTACTTGTTCCTTCTTTTCAGTTTTTGTTCAATCTGTTTGAATGATCTTGCAACAAGGAGTTAGTGTTCTATTTTCTAAGGGATAATGAAGCCAAAATTCCATGAGATAGAACAAAGTGTTTATGTTTTTAATTGATTCAAAAGCATTGCAAAGAACTTATTTTCTCCTTAATTTATTTTGTTATCATCACTGTTAAGTAGCTAGTGTGAAAAACTTTTACATGGTATTACTAACATACTCCAATATGACTAACTTTTAGGTTATTGCTGCTTCTTTTTGGGTTAGTCAAACAAAATGTTATATATTTTTACCTACCTACTGTTCATTGTCATATATCTTTTCGAACCATACATGCTTGAAATACCTCATTAAGTGGTAATTAATGTGTTCTCTTTGTGCCATCATTTCATGTGTGAGTGACCTGTGGGATCTTGACCTATAAGGAACTGAATTTCGGGGGATTGGTGGTGACTTTCTGCTTGGTGCAAATGTTTTAGGTTCCTAGATTTACACACACTGACAAGCCTGTAATAAACTATATAATGCATAATGCATATGTGTCTTGGACTATGGACACGTGCATAAAAGTATTATCTAAGTGTTGCATATTCCATGTAGCATATTATGATTGTTTACAACAATATATTGTTTTCTTTTGAAAATTTTTTAACTGATTGCAAAGTTCCAACTGATGGAATTTACTTGTTTTTTCTTTCTCAGATTTCGTTCAATCTGTTTGAATGACCTTGCAACAAAATCTTAAGCATGACATCAAGTATGCTATCTGGCGAACGGAGGTATTGTTGTCTTTAGGAATCAATGTCCTTTGGCCAGATACTTGTGTGATTGACAAAGATGCTTCGTTTTTGTTTACTCTTGTGCTGGTATATTGATAGAGACTGCACAAAAACTCAAGTAAAATTTGTTACCTAGGCTTTGCTCGATGCACAGACTAGGAAAGAATCCTGGTCTAACTGATAAAAATGTTATTAATCTAATTTTCTAGAGTTTATTTAAGTGATCTTAAGCTGTGTTGAACTAATTAAAGAGGCCGAGGAAATTATTATGATTATTGTACCTTAGTTAGAAAGCTATCTTAAATTACGCTTCATCTTTTCTGTTATATTTTGTCTTTCAATACTTTAAATAGCAAAATAAAGTTGGAGGAGAAAAGTTTTGAGAGGGTTTGCTTTAATGAATGAATGCTTTCACATGAGATTGGAGGACAGTCTTTGTTATTTTGTAGAAATGATTTTTGGAATGATCACAGAATTTTTTATGTGAAGGGATCCTCCTTTTTCTTTTTTGTTGTTTTAATTAACTATTTTTGGCTGTCCTCCCTTTTCCCAAAGAAAGGGGTACACCTTATTTGTTGGTATTATCGGCTTTAGGTGCTCTGCAGTTTCTGCATTTACTGCTTCATTATAGTTCACACTAATGAACGGTTCTGAGTTGCTTTTCATTTAAAGATGAGAATCTTTCTGCAGGTGGGCTTCTGCAAGACGAAGTGGCATGACTGTTTTGGGAAAAGTTGCTGTTCCAAAACCTATAAACTTACCCAGTCAAAGGTACTTTTTTCCATTGCGCATGTTCTTTCTCTCCTTTTCTTCTAGGACCTTGATTTTCTTATCTTTAAGCTGGTCTTTCTCTTTGTTGTTTCAAGGTTAGAAAATCATGGCCTGGATCCTAATGTGGAAATTGTTCCCAAGTGAGTAGTATCATTTCTTAATGTCTTGTTTTTATTTCTATGACAGATGGGAATATCTTTAGTAGTGTCAATTCTTTGGATGGCGGAAATGCTTATCATTAGCTTGGATTGTTTTATACCTGTAGGGGCACCCTTAGTTGGGGCAGTAAATCATCTTCTTCATCAAATGCATGGGGCTCCTCGACACTGTCTCCAAATACTGATGGTGGTAGCTGTTCACCTAGCCATATCAATGCCCGCCCTTCATCTGGTGGAAGTGGCACACGACCTTCAACTGCAGGTTGTGACAGAGCACATGAACCTGCTAATGCCTGGGTTTCAAATTCTAGACCATCTTCAGCTTCTGGGGCGTTGGCTTCAAATCAGGCATCACTTGCATCTTCGCGTCCTCGCAGTGCAGAAACAAGACCTGCTAGCTCTCAGTTATCTCGGTTTGCTGAACCTTCGCCTGAAAATTCAGGGGCATGGAGTGCAGCTGGGACAGCAGAAAAACTGGTATGGTCTTGCAGTTAATGAGTTCATTGTTTAAAACTGATATTAACTAAAGTTGCTTATATGAAAAATTTCTACATATTGCTATTAAGTATTTGCTTCAGTTCGTAGTTTCAAGCACATTGTAATTATTATGTTTGTGATGATAGGCTATAGGCTCAAGGTTTCTATCTAATTATTTGTTATTGGATTATGGTTTATACAGCTTGGTAAAAATTACTTTTTGATGATGCATACCTAGAGGTGCTTGCTGCATGGTGTGTAGCATTGATTTAAATTTTTTTTATGAGTACGGTAGGGTTGAGATGGGCTAAGGGTGAGATTGTTTTAATATTTTAGGTAACTTTTGGTATCATTTTCAAGATCACTGGGGTGATCTAATTACCATGGTGATAAGATTAGCAAGGTGATTTGATCACTAGTGATTTAGGTTACAATGTTTGGTACAATACTATAAATCACTAGTGGTTTTAAATTATTGTATTTGATATTATATGAAAAAATAAATCATATAATACAAAATATCCAAAATAACCTTGCAAAAAAGAAAAATATTTAATACTTATTGAATCAACAATTTATAAAATAGTTAAACATTATTTTATAAAAACTACAAAGTATAAATCAATTTTGATAAAAATAATTTCTAAAAAAATTATTAAAAAAACTCATTATTTTTTTAGTTAATAAAAATTTATAACATAAAACCTTTTTTTAGAATAAGTGATTAAAAAAATGGTTTTTTAAAATTTTTAGTGGCCAGTTTTTTAGCGTAATGTTAACTATATTTTTTTACTTTCCCATGGTGATAAAACTTTCCCATTGTGAAAATCATCCCAGTGATTTAAGATCATTGCCACTCAAAATTTCTAAATTGCTACCAAACAAGGTGATGTAATTATTGAATGTAGATTACTATGGTTTTTAAATGGATCACCCCATACCAAACGCTCAGGGTTTTGGCTAACTTCAACCTTTTAAAATGCATCGCACATCAAGCCTCGCATGTCCATGTTTCCCACCTATGAAGTCCTATGTTATTCTTTCTTGCAGCTTGCTCTGTTATGTCTAAATGTGGCAGTTACCATTATACATTGCAGGGAATGACATCTTCCAAGAATGATGGGTTTTCTCTCACTTCTGGAGACTTTCCTACTCTTGGGTCTGAAAAAGATATCTCTGCAAAGAACGCTGAGTTGCAAGGTTTTATTCTTTCTTATTTTGTTAGTTATTTCCTAATTGTAAATTTATCCTTGTTTACAGTTTGGTCTTTGCTAAAAATGGTTGTGAGTGGTTACTATACTTTTTTTGGTATTTTCTCAAGTGACCATTTTCTTCTGAGATATAGGTTTAATTTTGAAGCTTAATCACCTTTATTGCATGAAGTTTTGTATTGAAAAGTTGATTTTTTTATGACATTTATTATTGTGGAACTGATTGCATCTAATATTGAATTTTACAAGGTGTTAGGAATGTGTATTGAGGTAGTAGTTATAGTGGTGATTGGGGGAATTTCTTGGATTGGCATTTGATTCCCCGTCAGGCTGATATTAATTACTGTTAGTTGTGTTTTGTACTTTGGTTTGGTAAAGATGGGATAAATTACAGGATAATTAGTGGGTTTATGTCCTTGAGTGGGCTATTCTATGCAGTTCCTTTACAACTTGACTAACTTCGATTGCAGAGCATGGTTCTCAAGGTCATCCTGGCGCATCCTCTGGAGTAGCACGGATGGAAGAGAGGACTGGGACTTCTATTGCTGGTTTGTGTGCAATTTTCTATTCCTATCTATTTAGTTTGGCACCAACTTTTGCTATAATGGATATTGGCACTCTGATATGATTAGAATGTTTATGCATGTTTTTCTTTTTTTCAGTTGACATTTCTGTAGATGCGAATCTAAAGAGTGGAACTACAAATTCTTGGAGAAGAGATAGTCCTCCATACAGTGAGGATAGTGTCCGGCCAAGCATGAAGTGGCATGCAGATCCCCAGGGACCCAATCTGTACCCTAATAATGTTATTTCTCCACAGCATTATGATGCATGGCGTGGCCCCCCAATAAATAATCATCCAGGTGGTGTTTGGTATAGAGGCCCACCAGCAGGTCCTCCATATGGGCTGCCAGTTGCTCCTGGTGGCTTTCCTTTGGAACCATTTCCTTACTATCGACCTCAGATTCCAGGTAGTGGCCTTGCTAATCCACAGCCAGTTCCTCCTCCAGGAGCAAGACCAAGGGGACCTCATCCAAAAAATGGAGATATGTACAGAGGCCCTATGCGTGATGCTTTTGTCCGTCCAGGTATGCCAATTAGACCTGCTTTTTACCCTGGTCCGGTCACCTATGAGGGCTATTATGGTCCTCCCATGGGCTATTGTAATTCAAATGAACGAGATATACAGTTTATGGGAGTGCCAGCCGGCTCTTCTGCTCACAATTGGTATCCAGGTCAAACTGTTCCAGATCCTGGTGGTTCCCATGCCAGGTCCAGTGGCTATGGTCATCTGGAAAAAGCATTGGCTGCAGAGCATTTGGAATCTGGCCATCCTCATGGTACACGAGGACCTTATAAGGTTCTTCTGAAGCAGCATGATGGTTGGGAAGGAAAAGATGAAGAGCACAGGTTAGAGGATAATGCAAAAGCAAATTTAGAGAAGAGTGATCGACAGAGAACATCATCGTGCGAAAATAACTGGAAAGCCGATCAGAAAAAGAAGGAAGAATTGAATGTAAGGACAGTTGTTGAAGAAGGTTCCACTCAGATTATTGACCACCATGAAGGGGATTCTATCTTGGGCAAAGTGATATCATCTGAAGGTGTAGAAAATGCTAAGGTGTATGCGGACATTTCAGCAAATAAAATGGATAATCTAGAAGCCCCTGGTGCCGCAAAAGATCCTAGTCTGATTCAGAAAATAGAGGGTTTAAATGCAAAGGCTCAGGCCCCTGATGGATGTGAATCCGTATCTGTTTGCAGTAGGGAGGAGCAGAAAAATAGATCAGAAGTAGATAAGGCAAAGGCTAAGCATTTTGCAAATGAAGTTTCAAGTGGTTATCATGCTGTATTTCCTGATAGAATGCCTGCTTCTAGAATGACTGGACCTACCTCTAATGAAGGAGGTGTTTCTGCTGGAAATAAGAGCCTTGATTTGCCAGCTGTTGGTGGAGCAGGCATTAACAGGTTGTTCTTTTCTAGCTGCTTTTTTTCATAATGAGTCTATTGTTTTATATGTTGAAGAAAATACTCACTTACAGATTTACAGGAGATCTACCCATAGTATTCATGGTAGAACTGGTCACCAAGGCAGGGGAAGATTTAATTCTCAAGATGTTGATGGATGGCGGAAGAAACCCCCATTTACAGATTCATCAAATGTAAAATCCACCACACATTTTGAAAATCCTGATGCAAACATGCATGACTATATTTCATTAGAGGCTTCAGAGAAGTCTGGATCATATTCCCGAGCAAGAGATGACGGAGAATCCATGCCAACTGTATATGATCCAAGTGATAGCGAAGCGCAGGTAATTTTCTTTATACTATATTCCTGGTTGTTTTGAAGACCTGAAATTTAATGTACAATGTATTTGAACATTTTCTTCAGCGTGCCTTGATGAGGGAACTTGCCAAGCAGCGTGTCAAACAACGACAAAAAGAGGAGGAAGAGCGGGATAGAGATCAAAAGGCTAAGGCTCTCGCTAAATTGGAAGGGTTGAACAGGCGTACACAAACAACTGAAGGTTTGACTCAGAAGTTGGAATCTGTTCCAGATAGTACTGTCCAGAGTAAGCAAGAAGAATCTCGAACTCTCGCTGAAGAAACTATCCTATCTAGCAGATCTGAATTAACAAGCTTGGTTTCTAACCCAACTGTAGTTGCAGCTGTTGGTCAGAGCAGCAGTGGGGAACTTGAAAAGCCCACTTTTTTCTCCAATCAACAACCTTTGGCGTCAACAAAGAATGTCCGTAAGGCTGCAGATATGCATAACCATTCTTTGCCCTTGCAACAGAGAGTTAATGATGCTGATACTGCTCTCCCTAATCTTCCACAGGTTAGCGATGGTAGCACTTCAAATCAGAAGTGTGCAGGCTATAGAAGAAAGGATTATAACTCATTAGATAAGAGTTCCATTGAGAAGCATATTTCTACAAGTGCAACTGAATTGCCAAATAATCATATTGATGCCGCAGTTGATGTGGCTCCATCTGCTGAGGCTGTTATAAAAGAAATTGCCTCAATCTCTGATTCTATTTCCTCACAAAATGTTGTGAATGAGCCAATGAGCCAGAGAAGGAAAACAAACAGGAGTGGCAAGAACAAGCACAAAATGCAGGATGCATCATCTACGGCTCCTTTTCCATCTGGGATTTCAAAAGAAACAAACCTTACAAGTTCTTCTGTCAAGAGTTCTAAGCTAAAGTCTTCTGAATGTGAGTTGGATCCTAGCTTATTTCAGTCTCTGACTGATTCAAAGGATGGAAATCAGTTTTCAGAGCAGGACTCAGCTTTTCCTAATGAAGAAGTCTATGGCCAAGTGAATAACCAATGGAGATCTCAGCATTCTCACAGGATTCCACGAAATCCTCAATCTCATAGATCTGGAGTCCATAGTGGTGATGCTGTTGTCTGGGCACCCGTGCGGTCACATAACAAAGCTGAGGTTACTGAAGAGGTCAGCCATAAGTTTATAGTTGAGGCTGTTGCTCCACAGTCAAAGAACGACACTCAAGTGCAGAACAATCCTAGAAACAAGAGGGCAGAGATGGAGAGATACATCCCAAAGCCTGTTGCAAAAGAGATGGCTCAGCAAGTAATTACTCAGCAAGCAGTAGTTCCTTCAGACAATCAGACTGCTACAGATGAGATCATGGGAAAAGCAGATTCTGGATCTTGTGAAGTTGAATTTTCTCAATCTGTGGCCACAGCCATGGTGAAGGTAGGGAACTCTACAGAGTCGAGGAATGATGGTAGGCAGAGTAGGCAGGGAAGAGGGAATGGATTGCAGAGCTTGCAAGATGGACATTATTCCAACCCTAGTAAAAATGCTCAGACATCAACTGAGCAGAAGCAACACCAGAAGCCTGATTTAATCGTAGTGAAAGAGCAGACCAGGTATGATGAATGGAATACTTCTGATGGTTGGAACATTCCTGAAAATCCTGATTCTGCTGCATCACCAGTAGTTCCTGTTGCAAGAGATCAAGGAATGATAGGCAGAGGAAGGCGACATGCATTTAAGGGAGACAAAGGTGGGGGAAACAATTATGATTTTGATCACAAGAAAATTGATAATGCTGAAGCTGAGAAACTTAACCCACAATCTTCATTCCCTGAGATAGTTCAATCAGAGTCATCTGCTGCATCAAAAGAAAATCGTGGTGCTGGGGATCGAACAACGTCTTATTGGCAACCCAAAACTTCATCCATCAATCAAAGAGGAACCAGGCCTGATAGTGATCAAAATGTTAGGGCTGAAATTGGTAGGGCTAACAAAAGGGATTCTACTCAGGGTAGAGTGTCACATCCATCTCAACCTGACAAAGAAACAAGTGAAAGCCGGACTCAGCCTCTTAAAAATCAATACATGTCTGAGAAAATAACTGTTGAAGAGGCACATAATGTTGGGTATCATGACTCTAAGAGGGAAAGGAAGGTAGCTTCACTTAAAGGACGCCCTCACTCCCCAAACCAAGGTGCTGGTCTTCCAGTCGAAGCACCTTCATCTCCATTGAATGTGGATACTAGAAATGAGCAGCACTCAACGGCAGTGTTCCGCAAAAATGGAAACCAAAATAACCGTTTTGGTAGAGGGCATGAATCTGATGGTGATTGGGGCTCATCTGGTCAAGAATTCAAGCACCATAACCCACCTGCAAGCCGTGAAAGGCGGAGGCACAATTCACATTTCGAGTACCAGCCAGTTGGACCCCAGAAAAATACTAGTCCAAAAACTCCCGAAGGACCAAAAGATGGTTCTAATGGTACAGGTACAAGGTCCAGGGAGAGAGGTCACAGTCACCCAAGGCGCAGTGGGGGAAACGTCCATGGACGGCAAAGTGGCACTGTCAGAGTAGATGTTGGTTATGAAAAGTGAGGAAGAAATTCAGGATGGATTTTTTATTTGGTCAAAAACTGCCATGCTGTGAACAAAACTGGTTTGATCCCACATATTTTCAGGTATTCCAGATTAGGCAGCATTTTCCAGTTGTAAATACTATTAAATCATTTCTGAACTGATGGTATATACATTGAGCAGGGCTAGGAGAAGGGCAGATGTTGCCTAGGCAAAACATAGTATCCGTTGAACCAAGGTACTCAAATACGGTTTATTTCATTTGTAATTTCCTATTGTAATGTGGTCTCAGTTTGTATGCTGTGGAACCTTGGGCACATTGGTTTGAGCCTTATATTTGGAATGAAAGCAGCCAAGAAGTTTTATGGTCTCCCACTTCATTTTATTACTTTATACTATAGAGTGCAAAACATCCGATCAACATCAACTAACATGTTTTTCTCATGTTTCTGTATATATATTTTTATTATTTACACATTTTTCTTTTGAAAAAAATCTGGTCTTTCAACGAGAATAAGTAAACACACCAAATCAAGTAAAAAAACATAAAAAAAAAAAAAAGCATAACTAATTTCTAAGGTCATAGGATTACGATGTATTTGGTATTTAAGATATGATAAGATAGGATAAGATGATATTATAAATATGATTAAATTAAATAATATCATTTATTGTATGTTAGATGTGTATAGAGATAAAGATAAAATAATTTATTTATTGGTTAAAATTATATTGCCTTAAAGTTATACAAATTAAGTTATTGATGTAATTTTTAAAGATATAATAAAATATGTAAGTTTAATTTTATGGATTAAAAATAATTATTTTTATTTTAGGATATTGAATTATTGTATATGATGATTAATTTTTCTCATAATTTTATTTAGTTTTTTAGATATAAAACAAATATAATGTAGGATGATTATCATTTTATTTCATCTATGATCTTATGTATTAAACATGATTTTATTGATATGACTTTTTTGATAAAAGAGATTAATATTATGAATGACTCTTAAATTATAGTAAAATATTTAATATGAGGAATTAAGATTTAAAAATTTTACTATGGTAGTTGAATTATTGATCCGTTAATTAAAGTGATACCTAGAGTGTTATTAATTTATTATGTGTTACAATTGCCTGTCTTTGTATTCTTTACCATCTTCTTTCTATAAAAAATGTAAATTAAAACATTGATGAATTGGTTGAGTTGCATACTAAAAAAGTTTTTGTATTTTTTTTTAAATTTTCAAATAAGTTATTGCATTCTATTATATTTAATTAAGCTTTTAAAGTATTATTTTTATTTAATTAAGCTTTTTAAATATTATTTTAGGTATTTTTTTATGGAACCACTAAAATCAATAATTTCTTATCCTGTCAACATTAACATGTAGAGGTGAGACAAAATAAAAAATCGATTCAAAATCGTAGTGTTTTATTCGATTTGGATCGATTTTTTTCTTATTTAATTTAAATTAAGTTTAGATATTAAATGTATATATTAGATTCAAATTGAATTTCAAAATTGAAAATTGAAAAAAAATCAAATTAAACCAAAGTATATATTTTTTATTAGTTTATATATATTTTAAATTTTTATGAATAAAAATAATTATTTTATACCTAAATCTATTTAAATATATTAAAAATCATATTCAAATAATATATAAAAATAAAAAATTTAAATTTAAAAATACCTAAATCTATTTAAATATGTTAAAAATTATATTCAAATAATATATAAAAACAAAAAAATTAAAATTTAAAAATTGATTAACTTAATCAAACCAATAAAATTTGGTTTAAATTAGATTAAATCGTATGAAAATCCGATTTGAATCAAATTTTAAAAATTTATAATTATATGTATTAATAGAAAAAATTGAATTAAATTTAATCTAATTCGAATCATTATATGCATTGTTCTCTATACCATGTTCACATCTACATGGCATATATGTTGCAAAAAAGACTTTGCAAAGTAGAATGCTATGTGACCTTGTGCAAATGTCATCTAAAGGCAAATTCATTATGAGTTTTCATAATTTTTCCATGTAGACACTGATTTGGCAAAGATGCATTTGTCGTTAATGTGACAAAAAAACGGATTTTTGTATTTTCTTGCAAAATAAGATTTTGATTTAATAAAAATAATACTCAATTGAGGTACAATAACAAAAATAAGGACTAACTTGAGAAGTTTTAAAATTTACAAGAGTTTTTTAGTACGTATGATTATGATATAAATTATGTAATTTATAAATAGTTACTTTTAATATATTTAATTTTTTAATTTTAAATTTATTTTATTAGTGAAATTAACGAAATATAACTACGTTAATCTTAGATATTATCCAAATAAGCCACCCGTGAATTTCACTTAAAAATAAAAATAAATTCATGATATTTTGTTTTTAAAATTAAGGTTATAAACATTTATTTTTAGAGTAAATAGTACACATGATCTTTAAAATTCAAATCAAATACCTTTTTATTTTATACATTCAAATGTCACAAATTGGTTTGCATACTTATCAAATCATAACATTTTCTCTTTCCCAGTGGGTTATATCCATCCTATGTACCAAAAAATTTATAACGTTTTTGTTCTTTCATCAGTGTTTATGTCAATTCAGATGTTAAGTTCTACCTAGAGCCACGTGTTGCTTACATGGTGCCCGCTAACATGTGTGAATGGAATGATATGAAATTTTTTATTTGTTTTTTGCCATATAATTTTTTTCTTATAAAATTTGAAATCATTTTTGAAAAATATATTTTTAAAATTGAAAACTGTTGGTAAAAAGGGGAAAATTGCATTTGACAAAAAGAAAAAAGAAGAAAAAACTCCAAAGATTTTTACATTATATTTTTTAATTTTTTTAATTCTTTTTTTTCTTTCTCGTATAATACTCGTTTTTTAAAACCAAGCCAAAATCAAATTCCATTATCTTTTTGCACTTTTCCTTGTCTCTCTACTTCTAATCTCTTCAATATTTGTGACACTAAACCCAAATTTTGGTAGTCATTGGCATTTCCTCCATTATTGATTTTCACCGTTCTCTGAAAACCCTTTTCTTATAAACAACTTTTTTTGATTGCTTTCTTACTACTTTTTATCTTTTTAGATTTATTTATCCTTAAAATTTTTTTAAAAATTTAAAGCTAGTCCTGAATTAGAACAACCCTTGATTTGCTTGAGCATAAAAAAATCTCAAGATTTAAAGCCACCTAATGTTTGCCTTTTAATGGTGATCTACACAATCACAAGTTCAAATCATTCTCTAATGTACGTGGAACCCTTACACTAGCAAGGTGGCTCAAAAGCCTTCTATCCATCTTAGCCAACCTTTCAAAAAAGAACTCTTTCTCATATTCTCCAACATGCGCGACAAAAAGGGAAGTGAAGGGAAACATGGTAGCCATATATCTATATGTCTCATTAGGGCAATGAATATAAATTCAAGTTAAACAAGGATAATATATTCATAGATACGAGTGGCATTTATGAATGCATCTTGACTATCCAAATGTCAAAGAGTTAAGATAGTTTCTATGAAACCTTTCAGTGTTCAGTCTATCAGTGCAATTTGGTCATTCTATCGCATATCCTAAAAAGCCATGAGCATGTGATGTCTACCCATGAAATTTTTTCTTGTTAGTTTTTATAACTTTTAGTCGACATATTTGAATTTATAAGAAACTATTTCTTTTAAATTCTTTTTAGTTTGGCCGAAGACTTTATTTGTTGTCTAAAGCCAAGAACAAATGAGTATATCCCTTCATATCACTTAAGGTGATAAATCCTCTCTTGATCACTCATCCACTTTCACATGCTTTAGACTATACCCAAAAGTATCCTTTTTAGGCATCAAACATCTTAACCCAAACAAGTGAAATAAAAGTATGATGATCCACACATAAGATGAATTGGTGTCTAAAGTCTAAGGACTAGTTACACAACTAACACATGAGAATATTTTTATAAACATTTAGTGAAATACCAAATGAAGTTTTCATTGTGGGTCATGTTTAATGAACCTAACAAGCACCCACATGTTATCTTCAAGTGAACTTATTCACCTAACAAGCACCTACATGTTATCTTCAAGTATCTCTATACTTTAACCTATGAGATCAGTTGCTTACTTCATAAGTAAGAAAGCTTAAATATACCAGTCTTTGAGCATTGTTGATGTCTTGTTTCAATAGTACAATGATCGAGAACAATTTTAGGAACACGACTGCTTAAGGATCTTATAATTGCAACCTTTTACAATTCCATTGCAAAGCCTTTGTCTTTCATGGGCTTCATCTTATTAGTGAATGAAATTGTGTATCAATATAAAGAGTATTAGCAGCAGAATTTAAAAAATTTTCAATTACCTAAAGCCAAGATAAATCAACAAGATCATACAAATACAACAATTAGTTTTGGTTAGTAGTACATTACCTCTTGTGCCTACTTCACTTTACACCAAGCAAGATTTAATTAAATTTGTTTTAGAAAGGCTGGAGTTTTCCAAACGTCAAGCCTTTAATGGTGATCCACATGAATAAGGTGAAAGAACCTTCTTTAAGGGATGAAAAAAATCGAAATCTCTAGCTAGTGAGATTAGTTGACTATCATCTTTGTGTTTTCTCTCAATTGTTTTCAACACATAAGATATATATTCTCTTAGAATACTACAAGAAAGAAAGGGCTTAAGTTTTTCTTATGGAAACAAAGGGTAACTCAAAACCCTAGAGTCTTAGAGTTTTCTTATGCTTAATTCTATTCTTAATAGAATAACCCCTTGACCAAGTCCTATTATCAATCAAATACTTACTGGCCAACCATATAATCCCTTATTTAGTATTAGACTTTTGTATGTTTCTCTATATTCGATTTTAACCCATAAATTAAGTCCAACTTAATTTATCTCAATTTTAATCTTTCACGACATGTCTTATTGTGTATGACCCATTAGATTCCTTAGCATGTTGGTAATAAACAAAAAATTGTGATCCTTATATTCGAACTTAGATGAATCAAACATTTTTACTTCATTACCAACTCTCTAATTAGCTAATCTCATATTTATATATCATGATCAATGCCAACTACATTGTCATGAGCCCCAATTTCTAAAGAAAGTTAATGTGGCTTAACAACATATTTGAGCATGATCTTAATATATAACTAATATCCTTTCATCACTTAGTATCTCGTCTTGAACATTGAGCATAGTTTAATATCTATTCAATCTTGCTCAACCATGTTAAGTCTTATCCTTGACATTAACTTACAAATAAGCCTTAGAACAATTCTAAACTCTTATTTCACTTTGACCAAAAATTTCTTGAGTTAATTCAATCAAAATT